ACTAATAAAATAACAATATTTTTACCACTATCGCCAACTTTACAATCAACAATTTCTCAGTGAAACAGAAAACATATAAACCAAATATTCATTCAGCATTGTTCACCTTATAGCACTGAATATATAAAGTTGAAAAAAAAACAAGTTTTTTAATCATCTTTTCCTCCATAGTTAATTGGTAATACGTACTTTATTTGAGCAGTTTACTTTGCAGCAGTTATTTTCAAGTGTATTTTCCCTCTGTCAGTTACTGATAGTTAAGTTTTGCCTCTTTCTTTTTCTCCTTCAACAATTTTTCAGCAACTTAGAAGCCATAGAAATCAGTATCTTTTCAACAAAACTCAAGTAGAAGAAAATTACAGCTGCTCCAGCAGCAGTAGTCAGAAAACTGAGGTTCTGATAATATGCAAAGAGGGTCTCGGTAAATTTGCTGTAACTATTAAACTGTCATTTATCAAGACAAATATTATTAAACATTAGGTCAAAAAATTATCAAAATTGTTAATAGAAACTAAATCTGTCCTTTTTTTATTGAAAATTTTATCAAACAACTTTTAATGTAGTTTATTCATCACAAAATTCACAGCAAAAACAGTCTTTCCAGGAATAACAAAGAATGGAACTGTTTACAGCAGTATATGTCAGCAGAATAGATAAAAAGCTTCAAAAAATTAAAATAAACCGGCAGAAAAATGAATAAATATTATTAAAATTTTTTTGTTTGCTCATCGGTCTTAATTTCACGTAGTAAAAAATTTTACAAAGTTGCTTCAACAACCATAATGAAGAACATTTCTGGAACACAGCCCTTGAACCTCTTATAAAAAACTTTAAAAAACAGTGCATATTGGGATCTGTGCCCAAGTTTGAGTCTGTTGGCGTTGTTATCCTTATACAACAATGACAACTTGATTAGTTTTTATCTTACACAGTTTTCACAAAAACTGAGTTTAAAAAAAATTGGTTGCTCAGATAATTTACGAGAAGTAAATGTTGTTAAAAATTATTATAATTGTATCAAATCATATATCACTGTTCTGATGTTGCTGCTGCCATTACTAATACTGTTGCTGTTGGTCGTTCATGTTTCTAAAAATATTAAATAAAAAAGTCAAAATTTATTTTATCAATCAGAATAAGTCTTGGTTTTTTAAAGAACTTATTGGGTTTTTTAGTGCAATACCATAATTTAAACAAATGGATCGTAAAAGATACATTTGAACCATCAAAAGGGTAACAAAGCTTGTTTTTTTTTTGTTTTGAACAGAAAAAAGCAAGAAAACGTAGAAAAATGAAATTTTCAGACAAAAAAATGATAAATTTTTGTATACATTTTAAGGTTTTCTTACAACAGGTGCAAAAAAAGCAATTATGCTGACAGGAAAAAAGTGATTCTCAACTGTTGGATAAATCAAAAACAGCAAAAAAGTTCTTAGCAAAAGCTTACTTACCAACTCATATCTTTTATCCTGCTAACATTTTCATCTTTAAGTTTTTTCTGCCTCTTTGTTCGTTTGTTTATTTTTCACTTGGTCTACATCACATCTGTTCTGAAAAATCGTATGAAAACATAATCCCAAAAAAGACTATGAGCTCACCAATCTTAATTGATAGGTAAGGAAACAGCTCAACTAGGCTTAGGCGAAAGGCAAACAACGACAACCGCAACAAAACACACAAAACAACACGAGCACACACATACACATACACACATTCAGGTTTAGTGTTCGTTTAAAAAGCTTTTTTTTTTTTCAACAAGGATAACAGCAACATAAAATACGTTATCGTCATAGTTTATATTCAAGGATGACAGCTCGCCAAACCAATAACGACCAAAAAAAAAGGAGAAAACTATTTCCAGCGGAACTCTTCGTTTTCGAAGATGGTTTTTTGTCCGTTTTGAGTTTGTTAAATACTTTAGCTGACTAATTTTTATGCGTGACTGTTCTTTTTTTGAATGACACGAAAACTACCAATAAGAAATTTAATTCGTTGATACTTTTAACCACCTGTCACTTACACAAAATTTTTGGTATATATCATAATGGCTACAACGACAGTAATGACGTCGGTGATAAAACTTTTACTTATTTTTCAACATTATAAAAATGGCGAAAATATACGCTTGTATTGAAGGCGGAGAAAAAAGAATGAGGAGAGCTACAGAAAAAACAAACCAGAAGTACTTTGCAGAAAACCTGTTACAATTCTCATATTCATCTCAGCATATCCAAGCATTAATATTAATAGAGATTATTTACAACAATACTCTGAACAGCAGCAATGACAATTGGAGAAAAAAATTTTTTCTATTTCTTTGTCATTCTTTTCGATTGCAGACGAAAAATTTTTTCCTTTCTTCTGCGAAGCAATAGTGACTTACACTTGTTTGTCAGCACTCAATAATTGAAATCTTCAATCCTTAACATCAACTGACAAAGTGTTAATTTTAGTGTGGCTAAGCACTTCTGGGCTTTTCATTTTCGCCATTTCCTCATCATGATGCCTTAAACCTTTTGTCACTTCCTTCTTTTCTTCTACGTTCTTTAAGCTTTTTTCAATGTTTATTCTTTCTAATACTTTGAGTGTTTTAAATTGTCTACGGTCGTCTAATTACCCGTGAAAAAACTTCTCTATATAAGCTCCTTGATAAACAAATCAATTTCCCAAATAAATTGGTTAGGAAAGTAAGCCGACAGCCGCAAGAAGTTAGGTCGTTGGTGTTCAAGCAGCGAAGTTAAACAAAGTTTTCTAGTCATTTACCAGAACCATTTCAATTACAACACTAGTGTCGACCCATTGAAAGTCGAAGATAAGTTATAGAAAGTTTTGAGTAAAAGTCTGTGTAATACCCAGATCAACCTTTTTTAATTGTTGAAAATAGAGACACATGAAACTGATTCTAAAACACAAATTTGCATTTATTTTTTTCTACATTTTTTGTTCAGGTGTTTGATATATTTGTGATTTTATTACGCTTCTATCAACACTACTTTAGCCAATATAGATGAACGGTGTTATCAGTACCTAAAAACTTTATAAAGGTATTCTTTGTCAGAAAGTCTTGAGTTTCTTAAAATGACCTATATTATAATTCGTTGGTTGTTAAAGTCATCATTAAATTGTCGCACTGTATTACACCAAGAATAATAAAAAAGTTGTTCGCATCAAAAGACTCCAAAAAACTATCAGTTTTGCACTAACTCTTGTCACTGTGACAGGTTGGCGCCCAAAAATTTTGTCTGCTGAGTAGCACTGTCATTTGAACAGTACGAGGATTTAATCTTAGTTACAAGTACACCACTCCCGGAAACTATCATCCCATTGTTTGGCACTGTATTTTCAACAATTTGGTTAAACAGTATGATGATGTTGAAAACATAATTGAAATTTTTCCTATTTATGAGTTTCTTTCCTACAAGATCCTCCAAATAATGCCAGATATATTTACAATTTTCCGTAACAAGTCACAAACCGATGAAAGAAAAAGAATTTTGAGAACTGTGCAGTGGGCTATCAGCAACTGGTTATCAGACGCTGGCTTAATCGGTCGACGTAGCAACGGTGACGCTTGAAAGTGAAGGGTTGTTCAAAACACAAACTAGTTTTCAAGATATCTGCGGTTTTCCCATGTAATCTTACCAGAAAGTTCTCAATCACGTCTTAGCTTAATTATAAAAATTCAATAGCACATAAACTGCTTCCGAATTGATTCATCAACATTAATCATATTTGATTCTGAATCCATTTTGCCGAAATTTTACTGCTTTATTCATAGAATCTTTCAATCGTTAAGTCATCAGTACTGCTATAAAGCCTGTAGTTGGTACTTTGCATAAATTATCAACGCATTGACTATACGGCCGTTATCAGCAAATAAAAAGCTTTTTTTTTCTGCACATTTACTTTACAGACATACCCAACATTAATCCGAGACATTCAAATACATCCAAAGAACGCAAAACGTTTCTATCAATCGTTACTGTTATTTGGTGACCTGCTCATTAAAGTGAATAATCAGTATTTGGGAAGCACTTGTTGTTACTCTGGCTGCTATTATTCCATTAGATTTCCGTATCTACCGCTCAGCGTCGCTAAGACAATCTGTTAAGTTGCAGCTGTCGAAAATGATGAAAAACTGAGTATATGTTTCAGCTGTTTGCAGTCTGAACGATGTCACAGGGTTGTTAAAGTTTTGGTTCTACATAAACAACAACCTTTTCGTTTTACACTTCGAACTGTTATAAGATAATTACTCTTTCACTGAAGGGTTACAAAATACTGTTATCATCAACTGAATGGCTGGGGAAAATAAGACAATTCTTCTATTTTCACTATAGAGCAAGAAGTTCCATTTATGTTTGCTGCCACAAACTATATCTAGAACAGCAAGTGTTTATGTATTTCAAAAACTGGTGACATTATAGCTTTGATGAATGGGCAGCTTTGAACACGGGAGCGAAAAGAGGAGTAAAAAAAACTTTATCTCGTTCGTAGCTTGGATGATAAAGCGCCATTAAATCTTCCTCCGTCAAATGTGAAAAGCGAAAGCAAATGTCAAAAAAACTGCAAACATTTTTTTGCATACATCAAATACACTTCAATTCTTCTCTTCGGTGTTTTTCTTCTTAATTTTTCTGTTGCCCTTTCGCAGAATATGCGTATTTATGTATCTGTGCAAGTGTTCATTACCTGTAAAAACTTCATTTCTTTATTAATGGTTTATTCCTAAAAGCAGTACTAACAGTAGAGTTAGCGATGATAGTAGCAACGACAACAACCACAGAAACAGTGGCAAAATAAATAAGAAATAGAAAATTGAAAAATGAAGAAAGGGAAGTAATGTTAATTTCCTGTATTATCTGCTGGTTTCTCTAGAAAACCACACTAAAATGTTTCCCATCAATAATGCTGCCTGTTTTCGTCTAGTTGCAGTTGGTGGTGATGCCGGCACTGATGCTACCGCTACTGAGTAACAAAAATTTGCAGATTCCGAACTATTATCTCCAAAAGTCTTTCCAATCAGCAATATCATCAGCGTATTTATTACCAACATCATCATCGTCATTATCGTAGACACTGACATTACTCACTCCAACTATTGACACAACTAAATAAAAATTGAAAAAATTTTCTTTCATTCCTTCCGTCATCCACTAAATAACCAATCTAATAGACCTTTGATTTAATTAAACACTTCTTATCAGTTAGCGTAAGTTCCCAAGGCAGAAGAAGAATGCCAAAAAAATGTTGTTATCCAACCAACCTCTTCAAAGTGTATGCAACTTCACTATCACTTTAAACAAGATGCCAGCCCTTGAAAATTGATTCTACTTCCCCCTACCACCCTATCTGTTCCCTCTGTTTCAAAACATTCAAAAATTTTGCCTTTCTTGCTTTGAAGTGAACAACAACAAAACAACCAACAAACTTCCCTACTTTTATCTCCAGTGAGCCTTTAGTAATCCGTAATAATCAGGTTTGCAAACGCTCCTTCCACGCAAGCCTCCACCTTACTCTTCCTCAAACTGCCCTCTCTAGATACGTTGCCCTCCCTCTCCTCCTCAAAAAAATGAATCCAAATAGGATTACTGAATAATCAAATAAAAATACAAACCATTTGCCCAGATACATTTAAACTACAGAAGAACTTTCAGTAAAATAAATTTAAAAGCAAAAAAATCACGTCAAAAATACAGAGAGACATTAACGAATGTAAGAGATATATTTCTGCACATTCCATAAAACATTTTCCTCGACAAAAAAAAATAAATAAATAAAAAAAAAAAAAAATAAAAAAACGAGTTTTTTTTTTGTTCCTACAAAATAATGTCATCACTACCAATTCACTACCATCATTATCGCCGTTGCCGTTGCGCCCGCGCTGCTATCACCACTACCACCGCCCTCATCATCATCGCCGTCGTCAACTGACATAACAAAAGCATCAAACATTGCATGATACATTTTAGCGCAAAAACCAAATTGATGATGACTAAACAATTTGCTTAATGTATTTATGCAGGCAAGTTGCAAAGAACTTTCTGTTCTTCTCCTCCCCTTCTCCTTTGTAACCTAAATTACATCATACATCTTTTTTCTGTTCTCCTATTCACCAAAACTTTTTTCCAATGCAATAACCATACAATTTCAATCACTCTTCGTTCTTCCCTCCCCGTCATTCCTTAGCGTATTTATACGCCTCAGCTTGCCGCTCTTAAAATATCAGTTAACCAACAGCCACACTTCAAGTGTATCGGTGTTTCCTGCTATTTTTTAACTTTCGATTTATTCCAGGTGTCTGTCCAATTCTGTACCCCAAATAAATTATCTGCTCTCTGCTTCTTTCAGTTTTCAGCCGTTTTATTTTCAGCAGAAAAAAGAGAACCAATTGGCTTATACTGCAGAAAAAATACAAAATGCCCTGCAAATGTACCAAATGCGAAGAAGGGAAACCGTGTTCTTGTGAAGATTGTCCAAGACGTAAATTTGAATGCTGTAAACCGGCTGGAGATCTTAAATGTTGTTGCGAAGGTAAAGGATGTGATTGCGTTGATTGTGTTTGCAAAAAGAAACATCAAGGACATCAACATGATGGTTCCGGATGCAACAAATAAAGGAATCAGAGGACCACTGCATCAGTAAACTGCGGCAACGTCATCTAACCGCTAAAGCACATCTATTGTTCAGTTACAGAAAAATAACGATACTGAAAATCTATTTTGATGTGAACCTTAAGTCTTTTACTTTCTGCTAATGCTTTTTTCTCAGGCTTCCTTTCTATCTGCAATAAAACAAGTTAATAAATGTTGCTGTTGTTTCATACAAATTAACTGACAGTCAATATCGGACCAATCCTCCAAAACCTTCTTTGCTTCCATCTAAAAAACCCTCCTTTGAAACAGTGAACGACCGTTTCCATGCAGACATTTTTTTTCTTTGTGGACCATTTAGTATTACACCTATAAAGCGACTTCCTGTTAACTTCCCAGACGAAATTACAAGTGCAGAAAAAAATCATTATTATTTTTATTATTATTATTGTTATTTCTGACGTTATCATCATCGTTACTTTTATTATTATTATTATTATTATTATTATACTACTATTGTAATGTTAATATTACTGTTATTACTATTATTATTTTTATTACGAGCAAATACCCTAGAATGCTTCACATCAATTCCAATGCGTCTTTACTTCCTTCTTGCTTTCCATGAAAACGTGTACATTATAAATCTTAAGTCTACATAAAGAGTAAGCCAACTAATGATCTGATGAACTATACCGTCATCAAAAAGAAAGAAAAGAGTTGCTGTTATATGAGACCAATAATAATGACATTAATATTTAAGATACAGGATAGATCAACAGTTTCTAAAGTCGCTTCTCAACGTTTTAACCTGTACTCTTTTCTTTTCTCATTCATTAGTCAACACTTCGAATTTCAACTATCAAGTTCAGTCGTTAGAAAGCCACTTTTCTCCAAACAGCAAAAAAAAAGCGAAAAATATACTTTTTTTTTGTACATCAATGCAACAATCTACCAATATTCACCAAACTGAATGCCCGCCGACACTAGCAATTACAGAAAGAAAAAAAAATTGGAATTTCAAGCTTAACAAAGTCTGAGTTTTTTAGTTCCTTATTTTAAAGAAAAAAAAAAGAGTAAAGAATAATAAATGAAAGAAACCACACTGCCCAACACAATCTGATTAAGAAACAATACGAGTAAGTGTTTTCAGAACACTACGCTTTATGGTAAGCATGGAATAAATAAATTGAAGAAAGGAGGCGGAAAGGAATGGAGTGATGCGGTGCCACGAGAACAAACAAGCAAAACAAAAAATATACATACTACAAATATTACATTATATATATATATATATATATATATATATATATATAATGTAATATAAAATGGAGAAAAGGAGGCAAAAAGAATTGTAAGTAGGATGAATATTATATTTGGGAAGTACTGAAAAAAATTGCTATGTGAAACAAACTGAAGTGGACGAAGAAGAAAGAACCACAGATTGTGAAAGTAATTATGAACATGTATTTGTCCCGCATACGTCTCTGTCCTCAATCTAAAATCGGTCCAATAATTTATGTGTGTCGCTCCGGTTGCCATTAAGCATCTGCGTATCTCTGTGAACATATCAGTGAGTTTGAGTGTGTGTTCTGAGTGCGAGTGCGAGTAAACCATACAGATCTATGTTTGTGTATATTTGTAACTGTCGACGCACCGATATGTATATTTTTGAAAACCAATGCCAATTAATGAAAGCAAAGTAGATTTTTTTCATTTGAAAACTGAGATCAAAACTGGCGTAAAATAAGCTACAGACTCTGTCCCTTTCCTTCCCACTCCCTCCTCTTCCTCATCTATGTAAAAAATAAAACTTCTGTTATCGTTCTTTTCTTTTTTGTTTTTTTTTTTTTAAACGAGATTATTGTGAAAACTTCATATGATAATAATCATAAGTAAAAAATAAAAAATGAAATAGAGAATTCTAAAAAAAGAAACAAAGAAATTCGCAACAAAAAATGTTTTAAAAAAGTAACTAAACGAAGCACAGAAAAAAATGAAATGGTAGTAGTATTAATAACATTAATATTAATAACATTAATGGTAATAATATTAATAATAATAATAATAATAATAATAATAA